AAAATCTTTAAATCTCATTATCTGCTTCAAGTTGCTGTCAACCACTGACCACTATGTGCTGTCAAACAGAAAGAACTCTATTGAAAACAAAGCTGGATTGATGAGTTTCCATTTACTTATATGTTTTGCAACGATATGTTTGCTTATCGCCATTCGATATTCAATATTTCTATTTTGTTTAAGAGCATTTAGAAAACATTTTAGCGAAGGTCTTTTCATTTTTTTCTCTAGATTTATATATAACTATTTTAAAATATAATATAATATATATCTATTGAAAACTTTTGATTAAGCTGATGAACATTTCCGTCGCTCGAGGCAGTGAACCCCAGCAAAGGACAGCAACATCCCTATCATGATTTGCACAACTAAAGTTCGTTTATTTATCACGAAAGTAAAGCGCGGTTTCAAAGGTCTTTGGTTTAAGAAAATATTTCCAATAAGTAATCTCGTATTTTGATTCTTATTTGATCACTTCTTAATTTCCAGGAGGAAACTATTTGCTTCTTCTCGAGCTATCAGTCTTAGAGGTTTGTAGAAGTCGCCCAAATTTGCCTGCATGCTAAGGTTTAACTATATATATATAAATTAAATATAGATCAGTGGCGTAGCCACAATTTTCCGAAAGAGGGGGTGGGGGAGGGGGAAAACGGGAGGGGGGGATGGGGGGAGTGGGGAATTCAAAAATCCGCTGTTTTGTTTGAGCCCCCAAAACGTCGAACCAAAAACAAAACAAAACAAAACCGGCTTTAGGTTTTACGTTTTAGCTTCGGAAAATTGAAAAATAAAAATTGGAAAATTACCGTATGATTGATATATCAGCACATGACTGTTTGTTGCAAACCGCCTATTATCAAAAGCTTTAGTGCTCTTTACGAGTGAATTAATTTTAAATTATGACGTCATCAGTACTTAAGATACGTCAAAACATAACACAAGTTGTGTTCAAACCTGAAATCTGGCACAGCTCTCTTTGCAAACATGGTTGTCTTCAGATAATTCCCAACGATCAATTTGATATCACAACACTGGTTTTACACCATACAAAGATATCGAATGCCAAACGTCACACTCCAATATGAACAGAAACAGAAAGTTGTACTTTCGTCTTCTTGCTCGTCTTATTGTGGTCTCCTGCTCATTAGGCATTTGTAGCGGTAAGTCGATATATACACTCGATTGTAGAAACGTTGTAGTATACATTTATACATATATCTAATTTATTCAGTACGTATATTTAATGATATGCAAAACAGAAAAATCGTTTTATTTGCTGTTTGTTTCATTCAATGACTGTCAAAATATTTTTTCTTGTCTATTGGATCGTACAGATTATAAATTAGTTGTTTTTAAGCGTTGAAAATGGTTATTTTGCATTATGCATCTCATTAGATATCTGTATAAATGTATAAATGTATACTACAAAGTTTCTGCGATCGAGTGTATATATATATATTTATTTATTTATCTATTTATTTATGCATAAATTATATTCGAATATCTTGATCTAATAATCCAAAAATGGGAAAAAGTCCAAAACATGACCGTGTATTAGTGATAAAACCACTACATGCCTTGCTTTGATGTAAGTAACATCAACTGATAATCATCTAAATAAATGAGATATTTATTAAATATTCAAACTTTTTGGGCCTATAAGTAATCTTTGATATTTGTCATTTAATTCTGCAAAGAACGTGTGTGATATGGAAAAAGAACATGCCTGATCTGAGGCCGTATCAGCACCTCTCATCTGCTCGCTCTAGGTACGATAGGGTTTAGAGGGAGTTTGAGCATTTCTTTGCAGAATTAATGATAAACAACTTATCGATCGGTAGGCTAAGTATCTGATAGGGCTTTCCTTTTTTACTCGTCGTCACTTGTATCTTAATTCGTGACTCGAAAAATTACACAGCCGTATCAGCTGTTAGCCGAATGATAACCTTTATATATATAAACAGTGATTTCAAAAAAGTCCATTGGTTTCCGATCGTTTTCCCGGCCCATTGTTCTGCATCCGAAAAAAATAGACATATGTATATGTTACGAGCTCAGAATTTTTGGAAATCTGTATATGTATATATGAGGGAAGCGTTCTTAGGACTAAGCGTTCTTAGCGTACACTAAGAACGTTCATAAGAACGCTTTCCTCAACAAAGGAAACGAACTTGTTTCCGCATGTAGACAACAAGCGTAAATATTTACTCAGATTTTATAGCGATATAAATTGAATTTCTAAGTGCTTAATAACAGATCTGTCATGAACATGTGTAGCCTTATACTAAGCGTTGTTTAGATTTAAGATTGGATTTAAACCTTAAGTGAACCAACGGTCATGTAGTGTGTTCACCTGAAGAGTGTGGTCAGTTCGACCATACG